CAGCTACACTTGCCTCCTTTCTCTCTTGCAACAAGCCGCACCTGAGGCTTTGCACCTGCTGGTTCCTCTGCCCAGGGCACTGTTCCTCCAACTCTCCACCTAGCTGGTACCTTCTTATTTGCAAAGCCAGCTCAAATGTTTACTCCTTTTAGGTCTTCCCTTCTCACCCTGTTTGAAGTAGCTTTCCTCTTTCCCCACCCCAAATAAATCACGCCACCCTTAGTTCTTTCATGGCCCTTGTAATACCATGAAATTATGTTACTGGTTTGCATTGCTCTCTTTGCAAGCCTTTTTGAGCAAGAACATGCCAATCTCAACACCACAGCATCCCCACTGCTTAGCGCATAGTACCAGTTGCCTACTAGTTGACTCAACTCATGGCAACCTCACATGTGTCAGAGTAGGACTGTGCTCCATAGGGAGGGTTTTCAATGGCTCATTTTTCAGAAGTAGGTCACCAGGATTTTCTTCTGAGGAGTCTCTGGGGGTACTCAAATGGCCAGCCTTTTGATTAGCAGCCGAGCTCATTAAGCGTTTGCACTACCCACGGACTCCCAGCACATAGTAGGCACCACAGATATTTGCTTGATGATGGAATCATGGTAAGACTATTTGTCAAATAAGATGGGTGTCAACTAAGCTTTTAAAAAGTGTTATTGAATAGTTTTGCAAAGACATTCATAACTTGATGAAATATAAGATGAAATGTTAAGTAAAATATGGCTGTATAATAAGTAAGAATCAGTTGACTTTAACCATACTAAAATGTAGGATACAGCATAGGGGGTTGAAGAAACTTCAGAAGAATTCAGTCTTTCAATGCTAGTTGCTCATTCTACCTATGATGGTAGTCTCGTCTTGGTTAAAACTGGTTGTCACATTAGCAAAATACTCATATTTTTCACTAGAGGAAGAGATGGAAGAGCAAGAAATTTTCAATTCCAGAGTCATGACAGATACGCATCTTTATAAAAATATGTATGTGCTTATTCAAATATACCTGTGACAAAAAAAAATCAAACCTGTTGCTGTCAAGTCAATTCCAACTCATAGCAACCCTATAGGACAGAGTAGAACTGCTCCATCGGGTTTCCAAGGAGCAGCTGCTGGATTTGAACTGCCGACCTTTTGGTTAGCAGCCGAGCTCTTAACCACTGTGCCACCAGGGCTTTAAAAGGTTACATTACTGAGACCCTCATAGGCCTGAAGAGAGCAGAATCCTGATGAGCAGAGGCTGCCTGTCTGTACCGGGGTGGCTCCTCACCTGTGACAGTACCTGGGTCACCTTAGCAAAGAGGGGACAGGGGATATCTATAGTCCTGCTTCTTTGTTTGTTTTTAATCTTGTGGTTTTAATTCACCTGGATTTTTAAGCTTCAGGAAGGGTAAAGAAAGTGCTATGCCAGTGCTTGGGAGTTCCTGGTTGGTGCAACCGATTAATGTACTTGGCTGCTAACTGGAAGGTTGACAGTTCGGAGCACCCAGAGGCTCCTCAGAAGAAGGCCTAGTGGCCTACTTCTGAAAAATCAGCCATTGAAAACCCTATGGAAAGCAGTCACCCATGAGTTGCCATGAGTCGGAATCAACTTGATGGCAACTGGTTTCTGCTTTTGGGGGTTTTGTTTGTTTTTATGCCCAGACTTGAGGAGGCAGTTTGGAAATATAAATGATTTATAGATTTGGTACATTAGTTGTGATATAGCCAGAAAAAAGGAAGGGATTGAGCGAAGGTGTTTGAGCTCCTTGGTGTGCAGCTCTGCAGCTTTTCCAAAGTGGCCTCTGGACATAGTAGTTGGCTTCTTAGCCTCAAACAGCCTCTCGATCTCTAGAGGAGGTGGATGGAGTTTAATTCGGTTCACTCCTTACTTGACTGAAAATCCGCCGTGTATAGTGCGGGGAGATTCCTGTGGCAGGGCCAGACCCTGCCTTCAGGCAGCTTCAGGACCCAGAGCGCTGTGGAAGAGGCCAGCTGCAGCGTGGAACTCAGCCTCTGTTGCAAGTTGTTTTCTCGCGTTTCCCTGTGCTCATTCTTTCCTTAACTTCACACTGATCGCCAGGCCTGCAGGAATGCCCTAGGGCATTTTTCAAAATTTTCTGCACATGGGGGTTTTAATACTTCTTGTTAGCCAACTGGAGCCCTGATGGTACAGTGGTTAAGAGTTCAGCTGCTAACCAAAAGATCAGCAGTTTGAATCTACCAGCCACTCCTTGGAAACCCTATGGGGCAGTTCTACTCTGTCCTGTAGGGTCGCTATGAATTGGAACCGACTGGACGACAGTGGGTTTTTGGTTAGCCAGCTGATTGTTGTCTCCTTCTATTTCTCTCTCTCTCAACACACACACACACACACACACACACACACACCCCAGTTAACCAGTTGCTGTGACATTGACCCTGACTCATGGCACCCCCATAATATGTCAGAGTAGAACTGTACTCTATAGAGTTCTCTTCAGTGGCTGATTTTTTGGGAAGTAGACCACCAGGCATTTATTCTGAGGCACCTGTGGGTGGACTCGAACCACCAATCTTTCAGTTAGCAGCGAGTTCATCCGCTCGAACCTGACGACCTGCCAGCCAGTCCATGGTCTGGCGAGTTTTCCTAATGAGGGCACTATTTGCTTTTTAGCCTGCCCCTTGTTTATAAAATATGTCAGTATGCCAATATGACTAAACAACCCGCTGTTCCCAGTACTTATTTACTTGCCCAAACTAAATGTTTACGTCCTTGAATGCTAAACTTGAAGAGAAAGGATTTCTCTTCGTGGGAAAGCTAAGCTCACTAACGGTTCTTTCTAAATTATAGCTGGAGGCCAGCTTCTCAGTAAACAGTGACTTGAGGAACCATTCACACTCACTTCCTTTGCCCTGGAGTATTTGTGTGTTGTGTGTTTGGGGAGAAGGGGGTGTTTGTGTCTGTGCATGTGTGTGGTCTGTGAGTGTGTATATGGGTGTGTACGTGTGGGATTGTGTGTGTGTAGGGGGGGTGTGCTTCTACGATTCTCTTTCTCTGTTTTGCTGCTCCTTCCCTCATGGGCTGCTGCACAGCCCCTTACTCTTGAACAATATTGGATTGGAGGACTCTCTCCAAAGCTGTCAGCATCACCCCTCCCATCCAACACACACTACACCACCCTAGAGAAAAATGCAACTCCCTTCCTGCAGTCTGTCCCAGCCAGGTGCAGCATTCTGAGCTAGGCTTGCTCCAAAACCATAAGTGAAATATAACCTTGATCCTGAGGATTTAAAAAGAAGAAGGGCTGGGAGGGAAGCAGTTTGCAGCAACTGTGCCTAATTGTGTTGACTTCCAGTGTGTCCGGCTTTGGCCAAGTTGGTTGGAGCCTGTGTGGTTCTGGGACAGCAGTTCTCAGCCTGAGCTGTGTGCTCAGGATCACCTGGGGAGCCTCTGGGATGACTCAGAACCTGGCATCTGTGTTTTCTGGGTGCTTACCGGGTGCCTCTGATAGAACCAGGTTCTGGGGCTGCGCATGATGGCAGGGCTGATACGTGGCTGATAATTTCATTCCTCTTAACTGGGGTTTCCCCACGTGGATCTGACTTGAATCATATTATTTATCTTCTGGCAAGTTTTGCACTGAACACACATTTGCCAACTTTCCTTGTTCCTTTTTGGACGGAGGAGAAACATTTCTGTTACCTTTGCCAGATTATTTAGGAGAAGAGTGTAAATTGAAGCCATTGATCTTGAAATGTGCTGCAGGAGCAGATTGTTTATACAAGTGAAAGAAATTGTAACAGGGATATTTGGTCTGGTCTGCAAGGAAAAGGTGTCTCAAGTTTTCCCTCCCTCTTTATCCATATGGTATATTCGTTATAATGTGGACAAAGCATGCATCTATTATTTGTGTATGTGACTGAGTTTAGTGAGTATTTTTTCTGTCCTACTGTTATTAACATCTTGCATCCGTATGGTACTTTTATTACAATTGATGAAGCAATATTGATACATTATTATTAACCAAAGCCCATAGCTTACATAGGGTTCACTCTTTGTGCTGTAAGTCCTATGGGTTTTGACACATGCTTAATGTCGTATGTCCACCTTTATAGTACCATATACAGTAGTTTCACTGCCCTAAAAGTATCCTGTGCTCCACCTGTTCACTCCTTGCTGCCCTCCTCTGGCAACCGCCGATCTTTGTACTGTCGCTGTGTGGTTGTTGCTCTGCGCCGTCAAGTCGATTCCTACTAATAGTGACCCTATATGACAGAGTAGAACTGCCCACATAGGGTTTCTTAGGCTGATATCTATGATGGGAGCAGATTGCCAGGTCTTTTCTCCTGTGGAGTGGCTGGTGGGTTTTGAACCACTGACCTTTTGGTTAGCAGCTGAGTGCTTAACCATTGCACCACCAGGGCTCCTTACTTGTCCTTGTAAGAGAAAAACCAAACCCGTTGGTGTCGAATCTATTCTGACTCACAGCGACCATATAGGACAGAGTAGAACTGCCCCATAGGGTATCCAGGGAGCTGCTGGTGGATTTGAACTGCCGACCTTTTGGTTAGCAACCAAACTCTTCACCACTGCACCACGAATACTGTCCCTATAGGTGTGCCTTTTCTAGAATGCCCTATAGTTGGAATCATACAGTATGTAGCTTTTTTTGGACTGGCTTCTTTCACTTAACAATATGCATTTAAGGTTCCTCCCTGTCTTTTCGTGGCTTGATAGCTCATTTCTTTTTATCATCGAGTAATACTCCATTATATGGATGTACCACCATTTGTTTATCCATTCACCTATTGAAGGACATCTTGATTGTTTGCGGTATTTGTTAAATGTGTGTATTATCGGTAAAGTTAATGTTGCCAATAATAATGAAGTGAACGTTACTTCACTTTATGTATGTGAATCATGAGCCATGCATTGTCACGACCAGGATTCATTCATTGTGCATCACAAAGCTGTTAGTGAGGTAGCAGAACATGAATTTGGGATGGTTTTGCCCTTCTAATTGAAGCCTGTATATATTTGTCAGTTGGTGGACGAGTAAGTCGTGAATTAAATTATACTCGCCAGAAGATTGGAGAAGAGGCCATGTTTAATCCTCAACTCATGATACAGACCCCGAAAGAAGAAGGTGCTAATGTCCTGACCACAGAAGCACTCCGACAACACCTGGACTCAGCGCTCCAGGCCAGCCGAGTCCATGTATACATGTACAACAGGTAAGTCGGGCAGGAAGAAGCTGCAGGTTTAGGCCCCTTTATTTTACCTAGATAAGGTTGTCCTGGAAATACACCTGGAGTATTAGTTCAGATCGTTTTCTAATGCAGTTATATCTTTTTTCCCATCTTGGTTTGTTTCTGGAGAATTGGCAATGGAGAAAGTACCCTTCATGCAGCCACTTGGGAACCCTATACCCATTCTAAAGATGCTTTCATTGCTTAACATATGTTTGCAGCAGTTACATGTTGAATTGCCCTTAGTCAACTTATAGACATTACCAAAAAAAGATGGGAAGGAAGAGAGGGGAAGAAGGGCTGGAGGAAGAAAAATAAGGCTCGTTGCTTTGTCTTCACTGCAAATATTAGCAGTTGTATGTACCACAAGGAGCCCTGGGGGCACAGTGGTTAGGAGTTTGGCTGCTAACCAAAAGTTCAGCAGTTCGAATCCACCAGGCGCTCCTTGGAAACTCTATGGGGCAGTTCTACTCTTTCTATAGGGTCGCTATGAGTCAGGATTGACGGCAATGAGTTTTTTGGTATTTTATGCACCACAGAGCAAAAGGGAGATTGAGCCACTGTGAACTCATGCTAATGGATGTGTTGAGTAAGATGGATACACACACACACTCACACCCCCCTTTAAAAATATCACCCTTTAACTTTATAGGTAGTATAAGTGCTGTGGGTATAGTAAAAGCGTGGAAAGAGTTCTGGAACAAAACAAACAGTCCTTTTTCTCATCTGTCTAGACTCTAAGATACCTCAGGGCAGGGACGCCTTCTTGTTCACTGTCGTACCCCAGTATTTAGAACAGTAGGCATTTTGTTGATTGGCAGACTAAGTGCCTGGATTGATTAATTAAAGCTGGATCTTCTCCTTGAATTGTTGAGATTGCTGTCACCAAGCCCCATTTGTAGGGGACCAGTGAGTCGGCACTTACCTAACCCGATCCCACCTCCTAGGGTTTCAAGCGCCTCTTACCTGAGTAGTTGACAGTATGATTTTTTTTTTTTAAACCCGGGAGAGGTGAGGAGGGGCAGCATAAACATAGTCAATGGCCAGGGGAGAACCAGTGGCAAGAGTACAAGTAAGATTTATGCTTCTCCCTGCTTTAGCCTCCAACCCCCCATGGAAATGACTTGATTGGCCCTAAGACCTGTTCCAGCCCAAGGTGGTGTGATCCCAGGGGCCTGGCATCACCTGGACAGGTCACTGTAAAATTGGTTTATGGCCATGTGGTTCCAGGAGAAGATCAGATGTAGGTGGGAAAGGGTCTTGGAAAATGTCAAGAGGTAGTTTAGCACCAGTGTTAGGCCACCTTGGCTGAAGAGCACATCCTAACTCTTGCCAGCACGGCCCCTCCAGTCTGTAAGGAGCACTGTGAGGGAAGCAACTACCAAGGGCAGTTTCACAAAATTTGCAATAGGGGACCTATGAAGAGGCTAGAAATGAGTGTCCCAAGGCCATTGTAAGCACTCCTACATGTTTTTTAATATAGTAAGTGGAACCCTATTTGAGGGGGCTTGTCACTTACTTGGGAGTCCCTGGGTTGTGCAAATGGTTAATGTGCTCTGCTGCTAACCGAAAGGTTGACAGTTCAGGTTCACCCAGAGACACCACGGAAGAAAGTTCTGGCCATCTTCTTCCGACAAAAAAATGGCCATTGAAAACTCTATGGAGCAGTTCTACTCTGACACACATGGGATCACCACGAGTTGAAGTTGACTCAAAGGCAACTGATTGGTCACTTACACACTTAAAGAGAGTTGACTGCAGATGTGATGGATCTACACAATAAAACTACATTCTTCTTAAGCTGAGACGGAAGCAGAGAACTTCTATGCATTGGAATGAACTTTAAAAAACAACTAGTTCAGCCTATTTCATTTTTTTAGGTGAGAAAACTGGCAATTACATTGATTAGAGCATTTGTCCAAGTTCATACGGTTACTAAATAAATGATAGAGCCAGCTTTCCAGCCTGTTCTTGTGGCTCCAAGCCCTGTGGTGGTTCTAATGCACAATCATACCCTTCTCAAGAAAGCCTAAGTAAGCATTAATTGATCAAGTGATATTTATTGAGAACCTACTCAGATCTATCCATCTATGTATATATTTATACATACAAATTGGGTGGCTTATAGGAACAGAATTTTATTGTCTCACAGTTCTAAAGGCTGGGAGCCTGAAATCAGGGTATTGGCCATGTTGATTCCTTCTGAGGGCTCTGAGGGGGAATCTGTTCATGCCTCTCTCCTAGCTTCTGGTGACAGCTGGTGATCCTCGGCTTGTAGATCACTCCAGTCTCTGCCTACATCTTCACATGGCTGTCAATACACAGTGTTGTTGCTATGTAGAATTAACATAAACATATGTGGATGGGCAAATTGATGGGGAAAGGAGGAAGGAGGGAGAAAGGAAGAAGGAAGGAAGGAAGGATGGATGGATGGGTGGGTGGATGGGTGGATGGATAACTTGGTCTCCGTCGTCAAGGAGCTGACAGTCTAGTTAGGGATAGGAAAGACATCAGTATAGTTAGGCATGTACAAAGCCAAACAAAAACAGTCCCCACCGCAGGAGCTTCAGTCTCCAAGCAGGAGATCCAACCAGCCAGTGTCTACATCAGCAGCACTGGTCAGAGAAAGCTTAGCGATAAGGTGGTATTTCAGTAGGGCTCTGAGGGATGGATGGGAACGTTCTGAGAAGAGGGACAGGGAAAAGGACAAAGTATAGAAAACTTCTTTGGTTGAAAATAAACTTCCCTTAGGAAACCAATAAAATAGAGCAGTTTGGAGGGAGTTTTTCTTTTTTTCTCTTGTATTTCCCCCATTTGCCATTCTGTCACCTTCCAAATCTTTTTTCAAGTTAGGTTTATCTCCCTAACACACTCAGACAGGCAAGGGTGTATCGTGCTCTTCTACAGATAATTGACCTCTGAGTTAATTATTTATCTGTATATTTAATGTGGCAGTCTGCTTCCATAAAGATTTATAGCCTTGGAAACCCTATGGGGCAATTCTGCTCTATCCTATAGGGTTGCTATGAGTCAGAATTGACTCAAAAGCAATGGGTTGTTTTCTTGTCTTTTGTTTTTGTTTTTGTATATTTAACATCATTTTTATAGGACAAGAATAGAGTAATTCTCTAATCTCATTGTAATGTGGGAATTTGGTCTACCTGGCAAGTGTCCTTTACCGCATTTGTGGTTGACAGCAGGAAAGTTCATTTTGAACACTACCTGTTATATATAATAACGACATTATCCCAATAGCTGCCATTAAAAAATCGGTAATGTTTTCCCACCTTGAATATATGTTTATACATTAAAACCTCACTAATTGAGTCCTCACTTATTTTGAATTTGTGATAATTCAACTGGGCTGCCCTGAAGTTGCTTAATGTATGTAGAAAAGCAAATTAATGGTGTAAACAAGATTATTGGGAGAACAACTTAAGAAAACAAGACTTTTCAAGTACTTTGGTAGCGTTCATTTACATAAACACCCCACATGTTAATTACAATCAAGAATTATCTATTCATTAAAGCAAGCTTGCTGGGTCTTTACTTGGCAAAAGCTTTGCTGGTTTTGACAGATGCTTAAAAGTGATAGAAATTGCAGTTCTTTCTACATAAGCTATCGTTCTGATTTTGCAGCTGATTTTCTTAGTTTACTGCAATGAGAAATTCTTTATCTCTGCTTTTCTTTTTATAGACAGTGGAAATTGGAACATTTGTGCTATAAATCGGGAGAGCTTATCACAGAAACAGGTTACATGGATCAGGTATATTTTCTTTTTGTTTACAAACATTTCTAAAAAATTCTCAAACTACCCCTCCAGTGGTATGCTTTTAGCCTAATGCATGGCGTGTTCTTTTTATCTTTGACAGATAATAGAATATCTTTACCCTTGTTTAATTATTACACCTTTGGACTGCTTCTGGGAAGGGGCAAAGTTACAATCCGGGACAGCTTATCTCTTGTAAGTGTATGATCTGGTTTTCTAGAACAGAATGTTTTTGATGTTGTTTGATCATTGTTTAATTCTCTCTCAGTTTTGAACAAGAAATAAGAACATTGAAATTCCATGTGCATTTTTTGAGTGAATAGTTGGGGGAGGGTACTTAAACAGAATGTTTTTCCTCTTTTCAAAAAAAAAAAAAAAGTTCCGTAGGCATCATTAAATTTCATTCACTTTTACCAACCTATTTATATGCAAATAAAATGCAAATTTTTTAACTCTTTAAAATGTTTGCAGTTTTGCAGACCGGCCATTTATGTAGGGTTAGCTTTTTTTTTGAAGGGAAGAATTTATCAGTGGGTAGATGTCAGAACTAAATATTTTGAGTTAAAGTTAAAGATCTTCCTGTGAAGTAAAATGCTAACCTTTCTGTGGATCACATTAATGACATTGAAGGGGGAAATCCGCTATCTTTGAAGGCAATGGCTGGGGATGCTTCACAGCGTAGCAGTTGAATATTATATATGCTGCATCTTTTAAAGAGTAATTGTTAATCAGTGTAGACGTGTTCAGTTAATTATGCAGGAGTTGGTGCTTGGGTTATTGTTTCTGTCCTGGCTTGCACATATCTGCAAAAGCAATTTGCAGTGGCCATGCCCTGGCCTTCAGTGTACAGTTTTAGATGGGAAATAAGGGGTTTTGTGTTTTCTGGTTGGGAGATTCTGAATAATGACTTCAGCCTGGTTAAGCAGCTACAGTGTGGTTTGAACCACATAACAGGCAGCCAAAAGCCTTTCTGGTCTGTCAACAGCACAGATTCAAAAGTGAGTGTGCGGGGAAGTGGCCTTGATGGTGGTGATGGCAGAGGCAGCGGGGGGCTTGCCTGGTTGATTGCCAGGCTGTCAGAGGGAGCTCATAAGTATGGGATTATTAAAGGTAATAGAGATCAAATATTTTGATGGATGACATTTACAAAGCATCTATTAGGCTGGCAAGTGCTAATTTGACACTGCAAGTCAATCTTTTTTTTTTCAATTTTGGATCTCAGTCTTCTGCTTAGAAGCACCAATTGGCTAATTTTGTTTTTAAATATTGAACACAAGTAATACCATAATTAATAATCAATAAATGCAAGCAAAGTTTCTTTAATTCCTTCATTCGTTTATAAGCTTGCTGCCATTTCGTTCAAGAGTATTTCCTGGCGTTAGGCCTGCAGACAGATGTGCCATAAAGGAGCATTTAATTCTTTTATGCCAGGGTCCCAGAATTGTAGTAAGAAGCCTCATGCAGTACAGATATGTGTGCAAACTTGCTATTTTACCAAGGGTTTGGAAGCTGCTTTTGATTGTTTTGTCTCCTAATTTCTTTTACAGAGGTAAGCCTCCTTTGCGGTGGACCAACTTTGACCCTTTGGAATTCCTAGAAGAGTTAAAGAAAATAAACTACCAAGTGGACAGCTGGGAGGAAATGCTGAATAAGGCTGAAGTTGGTCATGGTTACATGGACCGCCCCTGCCTCAATCCGGCTGATCCAGACTGCCCTGTGACCGCCCCCAACAAAAATTCAACCAAAGTGAGTACAGTCATTGATTCTTTTCAGAAGGGACAGAAACAAAATCTTTTTTTTTTTTTTCTTAAATCCTCTTTTAGTTCTGTTTGTTATTTTCATTTCTAAGATTTTGTTCTCAGTGACTTTTTTGTCTGTGGAACACAGTTTGTTTATAGAATGAAATTTTGCTGCAAGATTTGCCATACACCTCTCATTAGCCTTGTTATTAATGTTCTCTCTGTAACAAACAAGCCCTTAATGTACTGGATTTTAACAAGGCATGTGACCTGCCTGCTAATTCCTGTAATTATGTGGCTGTCTTTTTATTTTAGCCTCTTGATATGGCCCTTGTTTTGAATGGTGGATGTCATGGATTATCCAGAAAGTATATGCACTGGCAGGAAGAATTGATTGTGGGTGGCACAGTCAAGAATAGCACTGGAAAACTGGTCAGGTAATCTAATCCACAGAGTAAAATCTGAGCCATCTATTTTCCTGCTTTCCCCAGAAACTACTTCCCTTCTGATATCTGCAAGTATATTTGTATTAATACTTAGCTGTTATCCTAGCTAGCCGTCTGGTGTAATAGAATATTAGGAAATATTAGGAGACCAGACCAGCTTGAAAGAGCATCTTGTGGGGAATTTTTCAAGGATGGATTTGTAGTTTTCAGCAAGACCGTAGTTACTGGCTAGGATTTTAAAAGATTAGGCCCATTATGTAGAAAATCGGGGCAAGTGTAAAGCAACCTGCATGTCATGCGGGCAAGAGACAGTACTCATAGCATACCTTATAGAGTTAAATTACACATGCTAAGTACACTCACCTTCTGTTAGAGGGAAAAACCAAGAACTAACCACTAAGCAAGAATTATCCTTTGTGCACTTACGGACTCTGGTCAAGTGTCAGGCATTTAGTCTGTGATGTCTCCCTTGGGAAAGCCATTGTCTGGGATTTCTGCACAAGCAACCATGCCTTGCAGAGAACAGTATATCTGGTCAAACTATCTACTCCTCTACCCTTCCTGTTTCATTGAATCAAAACTGAGAAAGGAAATTGCCTATTAATTTAATTTTGGGGTATATCTGTAAAAGGTTGGTAAGGTTACACCTTTAATATGGTACATCAATCTAGTCAACAAAACCACCATCCAGGTCCCATTTTAATGGAAACGTGTGCTGAAATAGAGCAAAAGAATTTCTGCCAGTGAGTTGCGGGAGGGGGGAGGGGGGTGCACATTCGGGATTTTTCTGAAGTGAAAACTGCTTCCTGGGAATGTTTATGCTGTGCCTTCTTTCCCCTCCAATCCTGTCACAGCGCCCACGCCTTGCAGACTATGTTTCAGTTAATGACTCCCAAGCAAATGTATGAACACTTCAAGGGGTATGAGTATGTCTCGCACATCAACTGGAATGAGGACAAAGCGGCAGCCATCCTGGAAGCTTGGCAGAGGACGTATGTGGAGGTAAATTCTGAACACCTTGAATTTGGGAACAAACTCTAGTTACCAAGCGCTACACCTTAACAATACTTTAAAACTTTTTTTTTTTCCCATTAAGAGTTTATTTTCAAACAAATAATTCTGGGAACTTCATGGGATGAAATTTTTTTTTTCTTTCCTTGATATTTAAAATCTTAGGATAATATTTATGTTGTGGAAGTCTGTCTAAGAGACATTAATTCTAATTGGGTTGCCATAAAACACTTTTAGTAACCAGTTGTGGACTTCAGAGCAAAGGCATAACAGTGTTTTAAAAACACTGGGCTAACAAGAAAAGGTGTCTGGAAAACATTAGCAGGGCATAGAATCTGTTCACAGCTGCAGGCCCCTGGTTAGGTCATGTGACAGGAGCTGGCCTTTGTTTCCCAAGCAGTGACCTCTACCAAGCTGCATGTGACCTTTTAAAAGTGGCCAGCAAATGGAGGGGGGAGGAGTGGCGGTAAGAATGAGTTTTGGCTTCGGGGAGAACCCGTGGAACTGCAAATGGTCGCTAGAGTTATGGAGAGGAGAATAATGGCCTTAGACTTGAGTAAATAAGGCCCTCTGAGGGAACCACAGTTATCCCACTCACTGCAGCACCATGTTCTCACTTGATTAGCTAGACTTCGCTGTCCTAGGCCCAGGGTCATTTAATGTTAGCCCAAGTTCAAACCCTCCCACCCTCAAATGTGTTTTTGAACGCGTAATAAACGAGAGGGGGTTGGTTGGGGGGCTCCATCACCAGAGATCTGTGCTAGTCAAGCTCACTGAACTTTTCATGCTATTTGGGAATTTACCCTCATGTTGTGTCCACAGGTGGTTCATCAAAGCGTCGCTCAAAACTCCACTCAGAAGGTGCTTTCCTTTACTACGACGACCCTGGATGACATCCTAAAATCCTTCTCCGATGTCAGCGTCATCCGAGTGGCCAGTGGCTACTTACTGATGGTAACAATTCCCTGCTTCTGGGGTTGTTTGTTTGTTTTGTTTTTTAAGTTTATACCTTCCTGTGACTGCTCCGCTTTTTAACTGCTCTTACACGTGCATTCGAGACAGAGAAAGCTTATAGACCCTGTCAGCTTCATAATGGTTTCAAAAGTGGTCCTGTATAGCATTTTTTCCCCATTTGTGGTTAGCCCATCATTTTGTGTGATGTCTGTAATGTAAATTTTTGTTGTGGTGGGGTTTGATGAATTCTACCTTTCAGTTGGGATGATGGGTGGGAGAAAAACATTAGAATCATTACACATTCTAATGTTTGGCTTTTGTTTTGTGTTTCCCCCCATCTCCCCCTCTCCCTCTCCTCCCCTTCCCCTTTATCCCCCTACCTGCCCCCCACCCACCCCGTTGTTCTGCTTGCAGCTTGCCTATGCCTGTTTAACCATGCTGCGCTGGGACTGCTCCAAGTCCCAGGGTGCCGTGGGGCTGGCTGGCGTCCTGTTGGTTGCACTGTCAGTGGCTGCAGGATTGGGCCTGTGCTCATTGATCGGGATTTCCTTTAACGCTGCAACAACTCAGGTACTAAAGGAGCCATCCCTTTGCTGGTCGTTTACAAACACTCCTCTCCGTGGCTCGGACTAGCCAGCCTCACATGTGTCCACCTTACCCAAAAGGGTCTTCAGACTTTGCCACTTGGTTGTCCCATGTGTCAGGGGTGCTGTCTGTAAATGGACCACTTGGGGCAATGAACAGAAGGTCTGCATGGGCTTGTTTATTAGCAGAGATGCTTTCACCCTTTATTAGAGCAGCAGTTCACCTGGAGGGTTTATAAAAGCAGATTGCTGGGCCGCAGCCTCATTGTTTGCAATCTGGCAGGTCTGATGGGGCCCAAGAATTTGCATTTCTGACGAATTTGATGTGGCCCAGGGATCATGCTCTGAGAACCACTGCCTTAGATGAGTTAGATTCCTTCTCATCTATTAACCTTAAAAATTATTGTTCGTGAACCTTGGAAATGAAAATGTACCAGTACTACTGTGAGCTGAAATCACTAGACTTTAGGGATGTAAACTATCAAATAAAATTATATTCTTCACCATGTGTTAATGTAAGCTGTCCTTTGGGTAGCTCTTGGGGGCACTGGTGGCAAAGTTTGTGATAACTTTAGAATTAGTGCAGTTAAGTGTCTGACATGTTTAATGCCGCTGTCCTCTGTTTGTGTTCCAGGTTTTGCCATTTCTTGCTCTTGGTGTTGGCGTGGATGATGTTTTTCTTCTGGCACATGCATTTAGTGAAACAGGACAGAATAAAAGAATCCCTTTTGAGGTAATAGGAAAACAAAAGACGAAAGCTTTGGGGACTGCCAAAGCTCTTTCTTGTTTCCGAGTATTTGGCCTTCAATTTTCCTCAGTATGGTCCAGTAAATATTTTCAGTCCCACATCCAGTGACACATGACTGGCTCTAAAGTGTCCTTGAAAGTAAACTAGAAGAATCTTAGGACACATTCTCTGTGAGAGGTGCCAAGAGCTTCTCTATTTGGGGTGTCTTTAGAAATATGGGAGTCCTTGGGTGGCACAAATTGTTAAGCTCTTGGGTTAAAGGTTGGAGGTTCTAGTCTACCCTGAGGTGCCTCAAAAGAAAGACCTAGTGATCTACTTCCCAAATACCACAGCCATTGAAAATGTCATGGAGCACGGTTTTACTCTGACACACGTGGGGTCGCCATGAGTCAGAATTATCTCAATGGCAGCTGGTTTTTTGTTGTTTTAATCATGTGAAAAAGTATTTAAATCATTACCTTTCAGCTTCCTACTTTGGATAGTTATCATGAAGAGCACATGACTATGTAGATAGTACTGAAATTTTTTTATAATGCTGGTATTAGAGGGTTAGACAGATATTTCTTTCTTATCCCCTAACACCAGCATTATAAAATATCCAGTTGTGTTATTTCACCACATTTTTGGATTATTCACATGACCTGTGCTCTGTGGAGACCCTGTCCTGTGCAACTCTCAAGTGCTGTGGTTTTTCATCCTCAGGACAGGACTGGGGAGTGCCTCAAGCGCACAGGGGCCAGCGTGGCCCTCACATCCATCAGCAACGTCACAGCTTTCTTTATGGCTGCCTTGATCCCAATTCCGGCTCTACGGGCGTTTTCCCTCCAGGTGAGTTTCTAGGGACAAGATCTGTAGTGATCGTGAGTGCTGTGCTCACATGCTCAGCATCCCCAGATCTACTTTTTCTCTGCTAATGTACTTCAGTTATTACTGTGATGAAGTAAAGTAGCATTCCAGGGTTTGGGGCTCTGTTAAAATGAGTAGAGGCTGCTTTAAGCAATAACCCTGATCCCACATTCCAAAAAACTATTCTAGGGCTCTGTCCTTCCTTTCAAGCCATATAGCCTGGGTGTCTATTTCCTGTATGAAGCTGCCCTTTATGCTGTTGTTAGTTGCAGTCAGGTTGTCTCTGACTCATAGAGACCCCACGTAAAACAGAACAAAACATTGCCCAATCCTAAATTGTCTTTGCGATCATTGGTTGTGGCTACTGTGCTTTCCCACCTAGGGGGCTCATCTTCAGCAGTATATCAGACAGTATGCTTTTGTGAGCCATAAAGTTTTCATTGGCTAATTTTCAGAAGTAGATCACCAGGCCTTTCTTCCTAGTCTGATTTTGGAAGTACCATTGAAACTTGTCCATCATGAGTGACTCTGCTGGTTTTCAAAATACCAGTGGCATAGCTTCCAGCATCATAGCAACACGGAAGCCACCAGAGTATGGCAGACTGACACATGGGTGGTGGGTCTTTCCTTTATCATTAAACTAAAATGGTACCAGAGGCCACGCCAGATGGGCAGTCCAACAGTTGGTCGTGAGTCCTCTGAAATCTTGCATGATGCAGCCAGCTTTCTGGCTGCCGCCTGCTCGTAAACATCACTCTCAGTTCAGTTTCTTTGGTTTCTCCCGTCTCTTGCGGGCCATCTCCACTCAAACATGGCGCCCTTTCTCTCAGTTTCCCCAAAGCATCGCAAACACAAGGCAGTTGTGTATAGCACACTTTTTGAAGTCTGAAGCTCAAGATGCAGTGTAACCCAGGTGAGGCAATAACTTAAAATTGCAGCTTAGATATCGCTGTATGAAAATGTATTGTCATTTTCTGTCATCGAGAATTGTCTGCACATGGTGTTCCTCTGTGGGCAGCCCGTGCTTGACAGCTCTCTACACACTTGTCCTGTCCTCTCTTCTTTAGTCTCCCACTCCCCTCTCAGGCTGCCCAGCAAGCTCAAAATTCCTCTCACTTTCTTATGCAAACAGTTCGGCTCCCTCGCTGTTGCTGCTCTCTCCTTCCAAAGTAGGCTCTTTCATGCCCAGTGGCCATCAAGATATTTTTCTGAACACTTATATGAATCATAAGAATGGAGAATTCCCTAGAATGGTCATGCAGCTATGGTGAGCCATGTGCTTAGCGTAAATTACTGACATTGCTCTTAAGCTACTTGGAACTCACAGAAACCATTTGTGATCGAGTCGACTCCAACTCATGGCGACCCCACATGTGTCAGAGTAGAGCTGTGCTCCAAAGGGTTTTCAATTGCTGATTTTTTGGAAGTAGAACACCAGGACTTTCTTCCAAGGCACCTTTGGGTGGGCTCGAACCTCCAACCTTTCAGTTAATAGCTGAGCAAATTAATGGTTTCCACCATCCAGAGACTCCAACTTGAAATTCATAGGAATCCTGAAATTGGTCAGTGCAGCAAAGGAAGAAAGCTACTTGGCCAGTTTGTGGCATGGTCTTCCTCAGCCCAAAGTGGTTCAGGGTTTTAATATCTCAGGGATATTACTGAAGTTTTGTGATAAAGCAGCGTTTGCAAAGAAAGGTAAAAGGAACATTGACTTTCTTCTTCTCTTTCTTTTTCACCATATGGAGTGTAATTCATGAAATGGTTGGTTTTTATACGAAAGAGCTCACCTGCTAACCAAAAGGACGGCATTTCAAATCCACCAGCTGCTCGTTGGGAACCCTATGGGGCAGTTCTGCTTTGTCCTGTGAGGTAGCTATGAGTCAGAATCAACTCGACAACAACAGATTGGTTTTTGGATTACTTTTGTTGTTAGTTTTTAAACTGTCATATTTATCAGGCTTATTCATACTGCTTTAACTCTCTTTAATTACCCAAAGGGTTCTAAAGATAGTGATCAGGAAGAGAAGTTGACAAATCATGAGTTAGGTTTCTGTAAAGTCTTCTTTGTCATATAAGAAGTAATCAATAATGTATTTGTATTTCATTTCACTAATTATTGATAAAGGCGTAAAGAACTCTAAGTTATTAATGATCCCTCTGTGTTTGGAACACTAGACTTCTTTAATATTTACTGTAAGGTAGCTATAACATGAAAAAAAATTCAGTACCAATCACCATGACCACCAGACCAAAAAAATGCTTAAAAAAAGGTTGGTTTGTTTTTTTATATATTCATTTTTTCCCAAACAAAAATGTATACATACATTGTTATGTGATCCTAATTGCTCTCCTCATACTGTGACAGAACACTCCTCCTTTCCACCCCTGATTCCTCATGTCTCTTCAACCAGCTCCTAACCCTCTCTGCCTTCCCATCTCACCTCTGGACAGAAACTGCCCGTTTAGTCTCCTGTATCTACTTCAGCTAAGAGGCACACTCCTCACGAGTATCAGTTTATGTCCTACAATCCAGTCCAATCCCTGTCTGAAGAGTTGGCCACGGAAGTTGTTTTAGTGCTGGACTGATAGGGAATCCGGGGGCCAAGCTTTCCAGGGTTCCTCCAGTCTCAGTCAGACCGTTAAGTCTGGTCTTCTTACTGAAATTTGAGTTCTGCACCCCACCTTTCTCCTGCTCCATCCAGGACTCTCTGTTATGTTCCCTGTCAGGGCGGTCATTGGTGGTAGCCAGGCACCATCTAGTTCTTCTGGTCTCAGGCTGATGAAGTCTCTGGTTTATGTGCCCCTTTCTGTCTCTTGGGCTAATACTTCCCTTGTGTCTTTGGTGTTCTCCATTCTCCTTTACCCCGGGTGGTTGGGACCAATTGAAGCATCTTAGATGGCTGCTTGGAAGCTTTTAAGACCCCAGACACCCCTCACCAAAGTAGGATGCAGAACATTTTCTTAATAAGCTTTGTTATGCCAATTGACCTAGATGTCCCCTGAAAGCATGGTCCCCAGACCCCTACCTCTGCTACTCTGTCCTTCAAAGTGTTTGATTATATTCAGGAAACTTCTTAGCTTTGGTTTAGTCCAGTTGTGCTGACTTCCCCTGTAGTGTGTGCTGTCCTTCCCTTCACCTAAGATAATTCTTATCTACTATCTAGTTAGTAAATAACTCTCACCCTCCCTCCCCACCCTCATAACCATCAAAGAATGTTTTCTTCTGTGTTTAAACCTTTTCTTGAGTTCTTATAATAGTGGTCTTATACAATATTTGACCTTCTGTGACTGACTAAATTCACTCAGCATAATGACCTCCAGCTTCCTCCATGTTAGGTTTCACGGCTTCATTGTTGTTTTTTTTTCTCATACAAAAATTTATACATACATTGTTATGTGACTCTAAGTGCTCTCCTCATACTGTGACAGAACACTCCTCCTTTCCACCCCTGATTCCTCATGTCCCTTCAACCAGCTCCTAACCCTCTCTGCCTTCCCATCTCACCTCTGGACAGAAGCTGCCCGTTTAGTCTCTTGTACCTACTTGAGCTCAGAGGCACACTCCTCACGAGTATCACTTTACATCCCACAGTCCGGTCCAATCCCTGTCTGAAGAGTTGGCCATGGAATTTGTTTTAGTTCTGGGCTGATAGAGAATCCAGGGGCCATGCTTTCCAGGGATCCTTCGGTCTCGGTCAGACCCTTAAGTCTGGTCTTCTTACTAGAATTTGAGTACTTCACCCCACCTTTCTCCTGCTCCATCATGGACTCTGTTGTGTTTCCTATCAGGGCGGTCGTTGGTGGTAGCCACGCACCATCTAGTTCTTCTGATCTCAGGCTGATGAAGTCTGTGGTTTATGTGGCCCTTTCTGTTCCATTGCTGTTCTTTATCGTTGCGTAGTATTCCATTGTGTGTATATACCATAATTTATCTATTTGTCTGTTGATGGACATCTAGGTTGTTTCCATCTTTTTGCTATTGTGAACAGTGCTTCAGTGAACATGGGTGTGCATATATCTATTCGTGTGACAGCTTTTATTTCTCTAGGATATATTCCAAGGAGCGGGATAGCTGGATCGTATGGTACTTCTATTTCTAGCTTTTTAAGGAAGCACCAAATCAGTTTCCAAAGTGGTTGTACCATTTTACATTCCCACCAACAGTGTATAAGTGTTCCAGTCTCTCCACAACCTCTCCAGCATTTATTATTTTGTGTTTTTTAGATTAATGCTAGCCTTGTTGGGGTGAGATGATATCTCATGGTAGTTTTGATCTGCATTTCTCTAATGGCTAATGATCGTTAGCATTTCTTCATGTGTCTGTTAGCTGCCTGAATATCTTCTTTGGTGAAGTGCCTGTTCATATGCTTTGCCCGTTTTTTAACTGGGTTATGTGTCTTTTTGTTGTTGAGGTTTTTCAGTATCTCGTAGATTTTAGAGATTAGATGCTGATTGGATTTGTCGTAGCCAAAAATTTTTTCCCAGTCTGTAGGTTGTCTTTTGACTCTTTTGGTGAAGTCTTTTGATGAGCATAAGTGTTTGATTTTTAGGAGCTCCCAGTTACCTAGTCTCTCTTCTGGTGCTTGTGCATTGTTACTTATGGTTTGTGTTGTGTTTATGCCATGTATTAAGGCTCCTAGCATTGTCCCTATTTTTTCTTCCTATAATCTTCATTGTTTTCGATTTTATATTTAAGTCTTTGATCCATTTTGAGTTAGCTTTTATGCATGGTGTGAGATATGGGTCTTGTTTCAGTTTTTTGCAGATGGATATCCAGTTATGCCAGCACCATTTGTTAAAGAGACTGTTTTTTCCCCAATTAACAGACTTTGGGCCTTTGTCAAATATTAGCTGCACGTAGGTGGATGAATTTATGTCTGGATTCTCAATTCTTTTCCATTGATCTATATATCTGTTGTTGTACCGGTACCAGACTATTTTGACTACCATGGTGGTATGTATAATAGGTTCTAAAATCAGGT